CCCGGGGACCTGAGCCTCTCAGGAGCATTCCTGGCCAGGCTACACCTTGCCCTGTTGACCACCAGCCCCATGCTGCCTATGCTGACATGTCCAAAGGAAGTAATGGTTTCTGATGGTGGGAGGCTTCCCATTATATTCTACAAGCAAGCTGAGGCTACAGGTGGGGGGACTCTCTGGAGGCTATATCGTTGCTGGCTTCAGGACAGCAACCCTCCTTCCTCAGGAGTGACCCACCTGCGGTTCCAGCGACCCCAAGGCTTTGAGTACAAATCAGGTCAGTGGGTGCGGATCGCCTGCCTGGCTCTGGGAACCACCGAGTACCACCCTTTCACACTGACTTCTGCGCCCCATGAGGACACGCTCAGCCTGCACATCCGGGCAGCTGGGCCCTGGACCACTCGCCTCAGAGAGATCTACTCACCTCCGACGAGCGACAGTTGTGCCAGATACCCAAAGGTACCCAGGCCCTGGCCAGATGTACCACATGTTCCCACATCCCCTTAGCCTTGGCCCTGCCGTGCCAGACTCCCCACCATGTTCGTCATCATCCAGAGACTGGCTGTCCCAGTTAATGCCACAAGCCCTGATTGTCCCCCTCATGCCATAAACCTCTCTGCCTTTCCCTACTTCCTACTTCTGCCTTCAAAACTATGGTGGAGGCTGAACTTAACTCAAACCCCCTCTCTTCCCTGCAGCTGTACCTCGATGGGCCATTTGGAGAGGGCCACCAGGAATGGCATAAGTTTGAGGTGTCAGTACTGGTGGGAGGGGGCATTGGGGTCACCCCCTTTGCCTCCATCCTCAAAGACCTGGTCTTCAAGTCATCAGTTAGCTGCCAGGTGTTCTGTAAGAAGGTGAGTGCCCCTCTTCCAACCAGGCCATGGCCCCTTGCTCCCTATCACTATCCATCTGACCTCCCTGATCTGGGCAAGGCCAAATGGGCCTGACCCCGGGGGCAGGGGTGGGGGGGGGTCAGGATATCCCTAGATCCTAAAGGAAGGTTTGCCTGGTTTACACAGATACTTCCCAGTTATGGGACACCCCACAGAGAAGATACACTGTTGGGTTGGTAGAGGGAAAGGCACGTTTTGGGTGGGGCATAGGTGAAACTGGCTCTGAGGAGGGGAGGTGGCAAGACAGGGCTGGTGGGCCAGGTTTACTCCAGAAACACAGCCCAGGCCCTCAGGCCCCCTCCACAGTGGGTCCCTTCACCCCAGCCTGGCCCTGGTGGCAGGCCCCTGCTTGTCTCTTTGGGCCTGGCAGATGAGTCAGGGGCACAGGAATGTGACGGGCAGAGGCCCAACCTATATGCCGTCAGCATTTAGAGGATGACAGACAGCTCCCTCCTTTTCTGTCCCTGCCAGCTGTGCCTCTGTTCCTTAACCCACACAGTCCCACACCTCCCCATGAGAAGAGAGAGGTGGGTCTTCTTGGTCTCTCTCTGAGCCTGTTCCCAAGCTCCTGGCATCCAGTTGGGAAATCCCTGAGGCGTTTCTGTGACACGCCACTTAGCAGGCCTCTCCCTCTGGGTAGTTTGTAGGTGGGGATCGTTGTAGCCTAAGCCATCCCTTGCCCCCCACCCAAGCTGTGTGGGGAGAGGCACAAGCTGGCCGAGACCACAAGAGTTCTATTGGTGTGGAGATCCCTGAGATATAGGGAGCCTGAGGTGACCTGGATCTTAACCTTCAGCCATGTGTCCCCAGATCTACTTCATTTGGGTGACGCGAACCCAGCGGCAGTTCGAGTGGCTGGCTGACATCATCCGGGAGGTGGAGGAGAATGACCACCGGGACCTGGTGTCGGTGCATATCTATATCACCCAGCTGGCTGAGAAGTTTGACCTCAGGACCACCATGCTGGTATGTCAGGGACAGCCAGCCCAGGTGGCTCAGTGGGTATATGGGTTGGCAGTTAAGGCAGGATGATCAGGGCAGGTGGGTGAATACCAGGCTCAGCTGGCAGGAGGCACAGAGCTGGTGGCCTTGATTCTCAGTATCCAGCTTCTTTCCCACCCCAGCCTCTGTCTCCGGAGTTGCAGCTGACTTGGGGCTAGACCCTTTCTCTGATTGTCCTTAACTTGGCCTGTCCCTGTGCCCCCAGTACATCTGTGAGCGGCACTTCCAGAAGGTGCTGAACCGGAGTCTGTTCACGGGTCTGCGCTCTATCACCCACTTTGGCCGTCCCCCCTTCGAGCCCTTCTTCAACTCCCTGCAGGAGGTCCACCCACAGGTCAGTCTCACCAAATTCTTTTTCTCTACACCGTTATCATCTGGGGTCTGAGCAGAGCTCCTAGCTCTGCTCCATCAGGAAAGGAACTGACTTCTGCTGAGATCCCACCCCCTGAGAGATGGTGGAGTAATAAAATGGAAAAGGAGAGGGGTGGAAATGGAAAAGTGAGGAGACAGGTGACAGGGACTTGCCACCTTTGAAGTTATGATGCCTTGTCCAGAAGGAGGAACTCAATAATTGAGCTAGTCCTCACCATACACACAGAGCTCCCCTTACCATTACTAGAGAGCCAGCCCTCACACAGGACACTGAGCTAATCTTCACCTTGAACTTTGTGCTAGCCAGTACTCCCATCAGCACTGGACTAGGGAGCCTCACCGAGACACCAAGCTGTCCCTCACCTTGAGTCTGGCTTCTATTAGAAAACTGATCTGGCACTGGAAGCTGGTAAAGGCCTTGGAGCCAGTAGAGAATTCAGGACTATCAAAATTGGGCTCAACTGGTAAATATTAAGCCAGCCCTCACCACGCATGGTAGGAAGCAAACTTTATCAGGAACACAGAGTGAACCCTCATCGAGGATTCTTGCTGGTCTTGAATGTGAACGTGGAGCTAGCCTTCCCTCTGAAGAGCCCTCACTTACATCTACATCTCCCAACAGGTTCGAAAGATTGGGGTGTTTAGCTGTGGCCCCCCTGGCATGACAAAGAATGTGGAAAAGGCCTGTCAGCTCATTAATAAGCAAGACCGGACTCATTTCTCCCACCACTATGAGAACTTCTAGGCCTCGTGGCTAGGGGCTTCACCCTCTGCTGAGCTGACAGATGTTTGGGCTGCATCTCATCTTGGTACCTTCTGTTTCTGGTTCCCTCAGCCTTCTCCCCATCCGCACCTCTTGACTTTGGTCCAGGTGGCCATGGTCAGTCACTCCATGTGGGTTCAGGAACCCACATGCCTAGAATGTGTCAGCCTGGAGAAGTGGTAGGCACTGTGTGGGGACTAGTGGGGAGTTTTTATTGTTTTGGGGCAAAGTGACACCTCTTCTTGCAAACTAAGACAAAAACTCAAAGGACAGGTGTTAACGAGTGTGTGTGTTTGTGGGTGTGTGTGGGTGCGTGCGCACGTGAGTACACGTGCCTAAGGATGAACCAGGAGCACAGATGCTGGCATCTTAGAACTCCTCCCTCAACTTCCTCTCCTCTGGGCTCCCCAGTGACAAAAAAAGGCTGGTAAATGCTTTGGAGGGGGTAGAGGCTGGATCCACGAGAGCATATTATAGGGACCCCTTCTGCATCTGAGCCTAACAGCACAATTGACCTTCTCTCAAATTCTTATATATGTACTGTGATTAGAACCTGGCTTAATAAGTACTCCTCAACCCTTCTCTCCTCTTCTAGTTCCGATTGTGTCCTTTACAAATAAATCACTTTTCTGCTCTCAGTATTTCTTTATTGTGCCCCAGGGCTCAGTAAGTATTGTAGTGGCAGTGGAAGTCACTCACTAAGGCTGGTCCAGACACTCTGAGCTTGCCAGAATCCACTGAATAAAGGATGCTGCCCACAACCAAGTGTGGGTGTCCAACTGGACACCCCTTTCCCTGATCAGGGGTGCCCTTCCTGACACCCGAGGCCTCAAGGTAGTGTAAGAAACACGCAGGTCCTCAGGTAACTAGACGACAGCAAGGAGACAGATGAGCACCGCCCAACTTCTGTGGGCCTCTCTTCTCATCTGTAAAATGACTGGAAACCCTCCAGGTCTGCTTAAAGACAGGCTGCCCTCTGTGAGGGAATTTCTGAAGCAATGCCCAATTTCAGCTGTCCCCACAGAATTCTTATAGGAGATCACATTTCGATAAAACAGCGACTAGATGAGAAAATCCAAGATCCTACACTGCCCTCCCAGGGGTGTGCGCGGCCGGGCGGGCCGCCTGTCAGCGAGCCCCGGGGGAGCAGGAGGCGGGCCCGGAGGCGCTGCCAGCAGCTCCTCCTGGCGGCCCGGCGGGTATTGCCGGGGCCTGCAGCCCCAGGCCTGGCCAGCAGGGGGCGAGCGCGGACGGTCCCGCCAGCCTGCTGCAAGCGGCGCGGGGAGGTCCCGACCCCGCCTGCAGGCTGCAGGTCTCGGGGGGCCGGACCCATTCATCAAGGGGGGCCGTGGGGGGAGGCGCGGCGGGCCCTGCTTCCTCTGGGAAGGAAAATGCAAAGCGCCGCGCCTGCTTTCCAGCCTCCGGGGGCGCGCGGCTTCCGCGTGGCAGGGCCGCCCCGCTCCCTCCCGCCTGGCGCGCTGCCTCTTTGTCTCCCGGCGGCTCCCTCCTCCCCGACTCGGGCTGCTGGCAGGAAATTGGACCCGCTCCTGGGGAGCCGCGCTCGCCGACTCGCCGGGGAGGGGGCGCCGCGCGGCCGCCGCCTCCGGGCGCCCCCAGCCAGGGCGGGGGCGGGGCGGGGGGGATGTTTTGACATCTCGTCAAAGGCAAGAACTTGATGCTTCGAAAGTGCTTTTCGCAGCCGGCCCGGGTCTGCTCCAGAGCTGATTTATAAACAGAATCTGTGCTCGCCTCGCCGCGCCCTCCCCCGCCAGCCCCGGGCGCGGCGCTGCAGGCGCGGACGCGGCGGTGCCTGGCGGGACTCGGTTTATTTATTGCCTCTGGCCGGGAGCCGGCGCGGCCGAGGACTGCGCGGGTTTCTCCGGCCCTGCCCTCTCCCCACCCTGGTGCCTCGCCCGGGCCCCGCAACAGACTTGGGGCCGAGGCCGCCGGCGGTTTGGGGGGGCGGCAGAGCGGTCCTGGCGCCCCGCGAGCCGCCACCAGCTCCCCCTCGCGCTGGCCCAGGGGAAGGGGGGGGGTCGCCACCGCCTCCCGAGGGGCGCAAAGGGGCTGGAGCTGCAGATCTGAAACCCCCCGGGAGACCCAGGGTCCTGAAGCCACCTTCCCCCAGGGCTAGCCCTTCCCCAGGGAGTCTTTGTCCTCAGCTCCAGGCCACCCTTGCCACCGAGGCTCTGCTAGCCCTTCCCCTGCAAAATAAATTAAGGAATCTCCAGCTTCCACTCGGTATCGGGGAGAGGGGAAGAAAGGTTTGGGAGATCACAGGTCGCGTCCCCGGGAAGAGCCACAGCATTCGGCCAGGGGGTGGGCGCAGGGCTGGGTCCAGATCCGTCACAGCGCGCCCGGGCCTCGCGTCTACAGAGTCCGGATGGCCACGGGATAGAGCAGGGACATGTGCTCGGCCCCCTTAATGGGCAGCTTGCGGCTGGCGTAGTGATGCACGATTTCAGGGACGCTGCTGAAGGGCGGGCTGTTCTGGCCCAGCACATACTTGTGTTCCTTGGTCCGGGACAGCTTCATGTGCATGAAGCCCTGACTGCTCCTGGGAAGAGAGGAAACCCTGGTGAGTGGGGGCCCTTCTCCAGCCCTCCTCTCTGCCCCACTCCAGGCGGAGCCTGCTGAGAGAGGGAGGCAGCCAGGGAAGGTGGAGGTCGGTGCAGAAAGCAGTAAGTGGGCTGAGGGGAGTTTCTGAACAGGTAGCAGTAGGCATTGGCCACTGGTAGCGAGAGCACTAGATATGCCAGGAATGTATGGAGAGTGTTCAGGGTGTGTGCAGGTGGTACCGGAGATACCCGTAACTGCCACCCCCGGTGCTGGGATGGGGAACCTCTGATCTCCAGCCTATGCGGTCAGGGCCATGTTACCCACCCCTCGCTGAGGTACGGGGGAGGACACCTGTTGGAGCCTCCGGGTGGAAACACAGGACTATTGGCAGGTCAGTGGGTGGACATGTGGCAATAAGGGAGTCTTCTGCAAAGAAGAGGGGTGGGGGAGAGCTGCTCCAGAAGCAAATTTGGGAGTGTTCAGCTGTCTGATCTGGGACATACCTTCACCCTCCTGCTCTCTGGGCCTAGGGCCAAGCCCCTGTTAATTTTCAGTCTGGGGTGACATCATCAGTTCCCCAGGCTGCAGCTCCTGTCCCTTCCTCAGAAAACACACTCACTGCCTCTCCCCACCACAATCCAGGAAATCAGCATTAGTGCCCAGCCTTGCCCACAGGATAAGGACCAACACACCCACCCCCCACCCCCCCACCCTCCCTGCTCAGAGTTCTGGCGAGTTCTCAGATGTCCTGGGTGGTAGGCTAATGAGGGGGGGGATCCCTTCATCATAAGGCCTCCACTCTTGAGAGATGAGGTTGGCTAACCTCACCTGTCTTCTCCGTCTGGGTACAAAGAGGGTTCTCACTGCACCTAATTTCTAGGGCTACGAGTTTAAAAATGGGGGGAGTGGGAAGATTGACATGAAGAATGGGAGGGGGGCATGAAACAGGCCCTTAACGCCACCCACCTCACCCTCACGGTATAGTGTCTTAAAGCCTGCTGGGGGATCCAGGGCTGGGTACATGTGTGTGTCAGGGTGTGGGGCCACCCTTCATCTGTAGGGTTAAGATAACAGCTGAGGCTGACAGAGACCACACAGGCCCTAGGCAAGGAGCCAAGAACTGAGGAGAACATACAGCCTCTGGACTGTAAAGAGGGGAGGCAGTGTGTGGTTATCCTCCCTGGCCTGCTGTTTGCCAAGACCCAGGCCCTAGGCGGTGGGCCCTGCTTTCCCTAGCCCCTCTCCCAGTTTTGGGACAGTTCTTTCTCCACAGTCCACTTGGGAGAATCGCCTCTCCCGAAAGCTGTGCAACCTATCTTCCCCATTGAGGGGCAGACTGGCCAAGGGCAACAAGTGGCCAGTGAACTTAGGTGGAAGCTGAGAGCCCAGTCTCCATCTGTAGAACCAATCTCCTGGGACAAAGTCCCAAGGGTCCATTAGGATACAGCAGAGCCCTTACCCAGCCCTCAGGGAGCCAGGGTGGGGCCAGCTGGGCCACAGGGCCAGGGCTGGCATAGCTTTTTTGAGGAAGCTGTTTAATTACCAGTGAAAGCCCTTCCATTACAGAGAGAAGAGAAACCATAATTGTATTTCAGTGAAACCATTTATATGCAAACAAGGCTCTGGCAGACAGATGCTGGCGGGGCCAGAACAGCCTGGGTTGGAGTTGGTATCCAGCCCTGCCTCCCTCTTTTGCTCCCTAGACTAAGGCAGGGCAGCTGAGCTTGGCTGGCCTCTGCTTGCTTGCTGGCCTCTGCTTGGCTCTAAAGCCAGATCTCTGGGGTTTTCCCTGGCCTTGGATGGTACCAGATTCAGTGAGCTGTGCAATGGAAGCATGGTGCATTCCATGGATAGAGACTGAGCTGGGTTCAGATCCTGCTTTGGCACTTTCTTAGCTGATGATCTTGAGCAAGTCACATAATTCTTTGAATCTATTTTCTGTCTATAAACAAGAGACTCGTCTGGCAATGTGGTAGTTGGCCTGGAAGAGTATATACTGCTTGGCACACAGTAAATGCTCTATGAATTTTAACTATAATTTTTAAAGCAATACACCTTCCTGCAGTGATGTAACTCAAATTTTTGACAGATGAATTTTTCTTAAGTGTTCCTTTGATTTTATGCTAATTTGCAGACTCCCAGAGTGTGGGAGATGGAAGAAACCTAAAAGGTATCTACCCACACATTTTGCAAAGGGTTTAGAAAGCAAGGCCAGAAAGGTTAACTAATTTGCCTAAGATCACATAGCTAGTTTTATTAATTCAAGAATGGAATTCAGGTTATATCGAACAATATTTTGATGATTTTTCCATTATCCTATAGTGAAGTTGAACAATTATCCTCCAATGCATCTGTTTATTAGTCCCAAATTTCCATATATGAGCTATGTTTGAAGTGGGGGAGTACTCTAATGCCCCCCAGGAAGCAGGGTAGGAAGTGGTACACATGCCGGGTAGTGATGGGGGATGTGAATGAACACACCACTGCCTCATGGAGGGGTGCAGGCTCCACCAGGCAGAACCCGTGGGTGCCAAGGGGAGGGCTGGCCACGCTGCCAGGAAAGCCTGGGAGGCCAATGCTGGTCTGTGTATATCAGCTCCCGGGGGAGGAAGGCTGATGGGAAGGGAGGACCCTGCCTCTTCCAGAGCTCTTTAAAGTTCAGTGTCAGCCATTAGCACCCAGACCAGCCCACTTCTCTAAGAATAACTTTGGGTCTAATGTTCCACCTTCCTCCCAGGACCCAGCCTCCATTCCAACCCGTAGATTCCCTCAGGCAAAGCACCTATTTCCTCGCCTGTGCTTCTAGACCATCCTGGATTTCCATGAATGATCAAAATGGTGGTAATTTATTGAGCACATAGCATCATGCTGTGCTTTTCATACATTATTTCATTTAACCTTTTCCTATAAGATAGATATTATTAATCTTCCATTTTATAAGCAAGGAAATTGAGGTCCTGAGGGGTCCGGGGTGGGGGTGGGGTGGCAAGGCCACACAGTAAGTGATAGAGCCTTCTGCTCTGGAGGCTGCAGCTCTAGTTTCCCTCCAAGGGCTGTGAGCTCCGTGAGAGCAGGGCTGACACGCAGCCCACTCAGGATCCCAGACCCAGCCAAGAGTGGACAAATGTTCACAGGGCTGGGGTTATCCCCAACTTAGGGGGAGGGTGAATACTGGAGACTCTCCTGCCCTGTTGGTTGCCCCCCCACCGGCAGCTGCCCCCACTCACTTGAGGGAGAGGGAGAAGTCATTCTTGCTGGTCTCACTGTTCCGCACCAGGTAGCTGGCCTCTTTGCACAGCCGGAGCAGGTTCTCGGCATCTGTTCGACTGATGGCCCCGTGGTACCAGCTGAGGACAAAGAGAGGAAGGGGGCATCTCTGCTGGGTCCTCGCCGTCCAGGCCCACCCATGCGGGCATCCCCTGCAGGCCAGACAATGCCAGGAGGGGAAGGGAGGGGAGAGAGTCCCCAGCTGGACACAGACACTCACACCTGGTTTTCCAAAGGCAGTGCTGGGTCTGTCCACTCCCCCAGGGGGCTGCTGGGCTCCAGGCTTAGGGGCTTGGCTGACTTGGGGTTCCCTGCGGAGAGTCGGGGAGGTAGCCGCCCCTTCTCCTCCCGGCCAGGTGACAGGCAGCTCTTCTCAGATCCTTCAAACTGGGCTGTGGGGGATATACCAGTCATAGACTCTGAGGGCCCTAGAGGTAGAGCCATACTATTGACTAGCCAGCGCCCCACCCCAATTCCTGCAGAAAAGGGTCAAGAGACTGTTCTGGAAGGGCAGGCATGCTCATGGGCCTGAATCCTGGGCACTGCCCGAGTGGTGGTGGGGGTGGACCCCAGCGCTCTAATGCCACATGGGGCTTCCCAGTCCCCACAGCGTGGGAGGAGGAGGGAGGAGCAACCTGAGAAACCACTTAAGCTGCTCCCTCTGGAGCAGCCGACTGTCTTCCATCCCCCTCAGGGTGGCTTCAGCGCTGATAATATTGTTTCTTTCTCCTCCTCAGAGTTCATTACGGTTCTCCAAATCACCCTGCCAAGCCATTCTGTAGAAATGACTTATCGATCTGAGAACAATTATCCGATTCCCCCTGGTGCCATCTTGACAGGCTAATTCTGCCCAAAGCCACCAGCAGGCCCACCCTACCCCGCCCCCAGGTGGCTGCCCACAGGCTCCTCTCCCCCACCCACAGCCCAGCCTTAGCTCTGCCTTCCCTGGCCAGGCCTGACAGGCCACAGGCACAAATGCAAAGTGACAGAGATCTTCCCTCATCCTTTTTAAAAGACCTGCTCACACTTAGATACAGATGTGCAAACAGGTGCTCACACACACACACACACAGCCCCATGCACATACACTTTGGCTGCCCATTTTGGATAAAACTAAACTGGTAAGGGTTTGGTGCTGTCTTGCTTCTCATTTGGGCACTTTTTTTCTCTCCTGTAGCCTTTCAAGCCCTTACTGTCTTTTAGTCCCCAGATGTGAAAAATCACATTCTTCCATTTACCAAAGCAGGCTCATCCTGTGCCAGCATCACTCCACCCACCTCAGGAGTGATTTGCACTGCTGAAAGATCTGGTCAACCAGAGCCAAAGAAGTGTATTTAAAATAGTGGATTTTTGTGGCCCGGTGGGGAAGCTATTTGGAAGAAGCTTCCCTTCGGAGACACCTTCCCCATAGCTTTGGAGAGGGAGAAATACGTGCTTTTTTCTCTCTCCTCTTCCCCCTGTAGGAAGGCTCCTCAAACCCTGCCCCACTTCTGAGTTCCTCCAACTTAAGCCCACAGGGCCTGAGGCTTGAGAAGACATGTCGCCCTGGCCAGAAGCCCCACACAGGACCCACCGCTGCTGTCCTCCAGGCTGGGCTCAGGGAGGGGTGAGGTTGGAGCGGAGATGTCCCTGTCCCCGTCAGGCAGGGAGGGGCTGCTGTCCAGCTGTCCCACAGGCGGAGGCCAAGGTAGGTCTTTGATGACCTTAATGTCAACTGGAGCCAGTAGCAGCAGGGAGAAGAGAGACAGTGACAGAGACAGAGAGAGGCAGAGGTTGAGACCAAACTCAGAGTCAGGACACAGGACAGCCTAGAAAGGAAGAGGTCAGAGCAGCAGCAGGGATGGCTTCTGAGGGAACAACAGGACTCTCAGAGGGCTGGGCAGAGCCTCACTGACTCACCAGGCCAGCCTGGTCAAGGGCAGGAGGCTTAAGTGGCAAGCAGCAGGATGCAGGGTCTTGCTCTGCCAGCCTGTGGGTCCCCTTTATCTGACCTCTCACAAGCCTCCAGGGCCCAAAGGCACCGGGGAAGGAGGAAAAGAAGAACAAGGAGCTGCCCACACCTCCCAGCACCACACCCAGTTCCCACAGCCTCCTAGCACCCCCAGCTCTACCTTTCTTCCTGCTTTCCCGGAAGCTTGGGGCTCATGCGGCAGGAATGAAACAGCACAACTTCAAGCTGTCAGGAATTCTCAGGGAAGACGTTTTTATTGAAATTTACCTCCCCTCCCCTAAATCCTGAGCCTTGACAATTAGAAGAGTGATGCCACTGGCGGCTGCAGGGCTGCTAACGAGGTTTCCTAATGACGAGCATAGATTTTCCCATTAAGCAATCCAAACAGTATTGATTCTCCAAGGAGACTTCTGGAGATAAACGGCCTATCCTCTATGGTGCTGTGTGCTTTACAGGAAGCAAATTAGAAACTTGTGGTTTCTGGGTCTGGCTGCCAGTGTGGGGAAGACACAGCTGAGAGCTGGGACCAGCTGGAGGATGAGCCCCTCGCCCAAGGAGGGGAGAGGGGAGAAGGGAGTGGGAAAGAGAAATGGCATTTAAGTCCTTCATGTTCTCACCAAATCAAGGATCCAAGAGCTGAAGCCATCTCCATACAACAGGCTCTTGCTCCACCTACTCAGACCCAACACACACCTCTCTCCAAGTTGGATTCTGGGCCTGGCTGGGATACACACTAGGGTGCTTGGTGTAGGAAAAAACCTGGTCTTCATTCAGCAAAGGGTTCTCACAGCCTCTCTCTCCCCGCCAGTCCCCACTCGTCAGAAATCACCAGGGGCTAGGCACCCCTGGTCCGACACAGGCAAGCACAGCCCTCTAATTCAGGTTGCGCGGACAGCTATTTTCATTGTTCTGAGGATTTAAATGCGCTCTTTTGTTACGTGTAAGTATTTAACATATGCCACAAGCTTCATCATTTTGTTTGGAATTTCTTTATTTTTAAATATACCCAACCTCCCAGAGGCAGAAGCGGCCCATGCCTCTTTGCCTCTGAGAGGTGGTGAGGCAGGGAGCCGCCTTCCTCCTGCTGCGCCCATCCTGGCCCTGCACACAGTGCTGCGTCCACACTGCCCAGCTCACCACTCTCGTGGAGCAGACTTAACTACAGTTTCCTTGAGCCCAGCTCCTGGGCTGCCCCCAAGCCTCCAGAGACCACTCTCTCCACTCCCCTCAGCCTGGAAAGCTGCTCAGAGGGCCAGACACAACGGTCCTCTCCACCCAGGACTCACCTGCAAAGGCTTTGGAAATCCGCTCCTTCTTCCACTCCCACGGCTGATCATACTCCTCAGGGGGCCTCTCATCATCCTCAGGCAGGCGAGACTCCCGGGGCCAGAGGGCCCCCTCACCCTCTGGAGTGGCCCCCTCATCCTCTGGCTCATAGGGCGTGTCATACAGAGGCAAGGGCTGAGCCGCAGTGTCCTTGGAGCCCCGGATCTCTGCGGGGGGGGGGGGGGGGGAGGGGGGGAGGCAACAGGGGGAGGTGTGAGCACAGCTTGGGCTGCCTGGCTCAGCTCCCCAGGTAGGGCTCCTCAGCACAAGCCAAGTCTCCTTTAGAGGAGATGCTGCTGGCTCTGGGGGAGCCAGGTGGCTGCACATTGGGATCCCTTGCCTTCAAAATACATCTGGGATTCCAAAATTATTCAACCCAGTGGAGGCAGGGCAGAGGAGCACCGGAGTAAGAGACAACAGAAAGATCCTATGATGGATGGCCAGCAAGGACTCGGGAGCTGAGGCTTGCACATTTAGGAAACTGAGGCAGGATCCACGCCTGGTCCACCTCCTTCTTGCTACTCAGTTCCATTTATTTCTTTGTTTTTCAAGAAATAGAAAACCCTTCTCTGTTGCTTAGATACTGGTGATACCCCCTCCTGCCACTCCTCTTTGAGGAGTCATTTTAATGGGCTGCCCTCTCTGGTCATCCCGACTTGCTGTCTCCCTGGGCCCTCTTTTGGTCTGTTACCCATGACGAGGATTTTCATTCCTCTAGCTCTCACTCCTTAAATAACACACCCAGTCTCAAACACTCTTTGCACCTATACTCTTCCAACTGCCATAAAAATGTTTCACTTTGACATTTCAAACTCACCACTTCCCCCAAAAGTTTTAGTCTGCTCTGTGATTTTCTTTTTTGAGTCATTGACGCCAGTGAAAATCTGCTCAAAGCTAGGGAACTGCTCCCTAGAAACACGTACCAATTTTCACATATACCTCCGGGACATTTATGGGCCTCTTAGGAGTCCGCTCCCTTCAGATCTAAATTGGATAGTTGCCTCCTCACTTTCTCCATTTCTGTCTACTACACTCTCCTCTCTAGTCCTGGGCATTCTTCATTCTCTGAATCCCATCTGCTCATTGCCAGTATCTGACGATGTTCACCCTTATTCCTCCATACCTAGATCACTGCTAAAGCCAAGCTTCATTGCACGGTCCGATGTTTCCATGGGCTTCTTGGAATAACACCCCTGACCACTCTGCCCCTCACTCTCATGGCCCAGGGAGGGAGAGCAACTTATCTGGTCAGCCCGCGGAGGCTCACCCTCTTTCTCAGATCTTCCTTCTTATAGAAAGAACATTCTGGTCCTTTCTCTTCCTGCCCCCAAGCAGAGGCCTACGGCTCTACTGCACTGTCCAAGCCTACGTGAGCAAGCTTAATTCTATGGCAACGTATTAAGAAGCCCAATGTAGTAACGTAACTAAGTACTATTTTCCAGTCACCTTTGTTAGTAATGAGGTCAACGTTATCTCCATCTGTCTGCTTCCTTAATATTATTTCTTAATTATTTCCAATTACAGGGAGGGAAGAAAGGGGTGTTAGTATCGGTTCCTTAAAGTCTCAACAATCTCCACAACAGTGTGGTAACTCATCTTTCTCATGCTCAGTTCTTCCAGTCTGTTTTGCAGGCCAAATCCCTAGCAATCCTCTTAAAAAGCCATATACATCCTGTTCTTCTCTTGCTCAAGAATTCATAATGGCTCCTAGCCCCCTTTGGAGCAAGTCCAAAGAACTCATTTCAGTCTTTGGGGCCCTTTACTGGCCTCTAGGCTTTTCTCATCTTGGCTTCTCCGTTTGCCCAGCACTAAGATTATTTGCCTCTGAATAGACCTTCCCCTCATCCTGCCCTGGGGCTTTGGTTTAGAATGACTCACCGGAGCTCCTCTCTGATCACCCCCTTTTGGTCTTTCTCTGGATCTGCTCTTAGCCTCTGCTCTCCAGGATCAGGTCTTACACATTTCTCCCTGCTCTCAGTTCTTGAACTATTTGCCCAATCTTATGTACGCTGCATCTGCATTTCTAGTGGCATGCTTCCAATTACCATCAGGTTTCACATCATTTCAAATTCACCACCTTCCCCAAAACCTGTGATTCTTCTTTCTAAGGATCATTAATTTGACATGTCCCCAAGCCCCATACCCTCCAGCCCATGCAACTATCTTACCCTTCTTGACTCTCCCAAATGCTTCTATCTGTCTGATCTTTGGCTTTGTGGCTTTCTCTACTGCTTCAGGTTTGAGGTATCACAAGTCACACCCCCTTCTCCAAAATGACTATCTTGAAGTTATTAGCCATCCTCCCCAAGGACCTGGCAAAGGTTTTCTCTCATTTTCTAGAAATCAGAAAATGGTTTGTGTGTTGCGGAACCTGTACTGCAGATATCCAGGACTCAGGGAGAACCCCTGGCCCCTAGCTCTTCCTTAGCACTCACCGGCCATCATCTTTTGGGCTTCATAGGGTTCCATGTAGCCATCATTTTCAGGCACCTTCTCTGGGGCTGCTGAAGCTCCTGATGGGCCCTCACCGGTTTCTTGAACATCAAATGGGTCCGCATAGTCTTCTAGAATTGCCAACTGTGGGAAAAGAGTGAAGAGGTAGGCTTTAGAAAACTAAAAGACAGTGCTGTTTTCCCCCAGATGGTAGCAGGAATTCTGGGCAGCACACCTTAGTTCCAGAGGCGCAGGTTCAAAAGGGCAGGTTCTGAGCTTAAATAGGGACACTTGCTGGTTCAATCTTTGCAGGGCTACCTCCCAATAGGCTGCCACAAAAGTGCTCTATCTTTCTGTTAATTTTGTGCCCCAGCACCCCTAGGTTAAATGGCCAGGATGAGGCCCTGGGCTCATGGCCTGCCTCAGCCAGTCAGGACAAAGGCCTACACTAGGGGTTTAACAGGGGGAATTAATTCAGAGAACTGGTTACAAAGGTGTTGGAGGGGTTCAAAGAGCAAGCAGGGAAAAGTGAGATGACTCGGAGATTATGTAGTCTGTGCCTGCCAGCATGTTCCCAGATGCTGAATGAAATAATATTTGCTGATTATCAGGAAGAAAAAGCTGCATTCTCACCTTTTAGCAAGGCTCTGCTGGATTATCCTTAAAACATCCATCACAATGTCATGTATAGTATTAGCCCCATTTTAAGGAAATGGAGACTCAGAACAGTCAGGAAACAAACATGCTCAAGACCAGTCCATGTAAGTGCAGGAACAAGGATTAGAACCCATGTCTTTTTTGCAAAATTTATGTTGTCAGCCACAGGGCATCTTGGTTGTCTTGGGGAAGAGACCACCTTAGGACTGCCCTGAGGGAAGCCAAGACTTGGGCTCTGCTAAAATCACTTTGGTGCCTGGAGAATAGGGAAAGGAAAGGCCTCCATGGGCCCTTCATGTGTCTCACTGCCTTTTCCCATACAAGTGGCACACAGTACCCCTCTTTCCTGCTCTCAGTGAAGGCCAAGCAAACCTCAAGCTACACACCCTGCAGAGGAGCTCAAGGTGCTTGGGCGGGGTACAGCTGAGGACAATAGGGCCTTTCTACCAGCTGGGCACAGTCTCCTGGTGGAGGCAGAGCCCAGTCTACCAGGGCTGCCAGCTCCTTGGAGGAGCACTGCACCCCTGAGTCGACAGGTGTTGATGGGAAGTGGTTCCAGTCCTGCAGCATGGGGAGGAGCCACTTTTGTCTTTCCCCCAGTCTTGGTATAGACTTTGGTTCTGGGCCAGATCAGGACTGTGGGAGCTTGCTGGAGAGGGAGGCCGTGGGGTTGACCTGGGTTCACCCCTGCCTTGGGTTAGTGTATCTGGGATGCTAGCAAGGGAGAGATAGAGAAAGGAACATCCTTACTTCAGAAATCCCTACTGCACATTCCTACATACCCCACCCCACCCTCGCATACCCCATAAAACCCTCTGGGGGTCTCTGAAGCACATCCTGACAGCACCCACCATGTCAGTTCTTTACCTTGTTTCAGTCAACTCCTTGACCTCCCTCAGCTCCCTGCCCACTCCTAAGAAGACCACCCTCTCATAGAACCCCTGCACCAACGTCAGAGCATTCAGTGTAGCTCATTGTTGTTTTTGTCTCTCCAGCTCCAACTAGCACCTGGATCTCAGTAAACACTAGACAAATGTTTCCACTGGTTCACTGCCTAGCTCCCCTTGTAACTCTCGTCCTCCTTCCAGAAAGCAAATAAAAAGAAATCCACTCACCCCAAATGCTTTCTCCCAGGCAAACGGCACCCACTGCTTCACCCACCTGACCAAGGGGGCTCTGCAGCCAACCCCAGGGGAAATTCTGGTCAGCACCCAGCCTCAGGTTCATATGTGGCAGCAACTCAGCAGTCACTGAATCAACGGACATGCTATCCTTAAATAGGATAGCAATGGCTCTTCACGTTTTCCAGCAGGAAAATGTCCAAAGTTAAAAAAATGTAAAAGATTCCATTTTCTTCCTCAGTGACCCTGTATCTAGCACAGGACACTTTGTTACCTTAAAGCTCTATGCTCTTTCTTACCTCAAAGGTTTTTCCTTCACCCAGATGAGATTATTGCATTTCTTGAGAGAGCCTTTCTTTCCATTCTCCCCCCAGGCCTGGTTAGGTGCCTCTGTGCTAAGTCATCAACACATTGTATAGTAAATACTTGCTTTATTGCGTTTTCTTGCAGACTGTGAGCTTCCTGAAGGCAGGAGTCATATTCACTATTAAATTCCGAGTGCCTGAAAGTGCCCGGTAAATATCTTTGAACTCAGTTCATATGCAACAGGAAGAATGGACAAAGGGAGCACTCTTTCTTGTTCATTCAGAAAAGGGAGGAAGCGTGAATTCGGGTGGGGCAGGGGCCATGCAGGGGGGATGAGTCCCTGCTTAGTGAGCAGAAGCATCTGGCCCAAGACCTGGCCCTTCCAATTCTATGGAGCCCCCAGCCCTTCCCTCACGTAGCCTGGTCAGAGCTGTACACAGCACTTTTCCCACTGCAGTCCTGGGTTGGTGCCCAGAGCCACGACCCCTCCCAGGCTGGCGTGGGCCTTCCCAGCGCCAGCCTGCAATGCCCGTGGGCGCCCAGGTGGCAGCTCTGTGGGCAGCTCAATGGCTCCTCTGTTCCGTTCCTGGCTCCACACCCTGCTCCAGGAAGCCCCAGCCCCCCTCCCTGGGCTGGGGCTCCTAGAGGAGCCGCCCACAGGGGTTGGGGATCAGGAATGGCAGCAAAGACGCCTGCTGGGGAGGCTAGCAGGATGGTACCTGCCCCGGGCACATATGACCCCAATCAGAGGCTTCTTCCCTGTGGCTTCTGAGTCATGTGAGGAGGCAGAACTCCTTAGTGAGGGAAGCTAAGCCTGCAGGCTTCTGAAACCATTGCCCTATAGCAATTTGGTTATGGTTCCTTTGCCCCCCCCCCCTCCAAATTGCTCACTGTTGGGCCTCCCTGGTGGCGCTAGGAGTTAAGCAACGCACTATGAAGTGGTCCACAGCCTCTGCAGCATGAGTTCAATCCCTGGCTGGCCAGGGAGCTACCCACATGGCGAGGCAGACCTTTCCTGGCTTGCCTGCTGCTCCCCTTAGCAGTGTGTTTCAATCAGTCTGCCTGTTCTGTTCCCCGTTCTGTCTCTGGTGAATCCTCTCACCTTCCTGCACATCTAGCCTGTATCCTAGCTTTTGTATGCATAAATAAATAAATCTTAAAAGATAAAAACAAATTGCTCACTGTTGTATCCTGCATCCAGCACAGGATGTGGCACACAGTAGGTTCTCAATATATTCACTGGATAATCAAAAGAGCTCCTTCTCCCCAGACTCTCCATCTTCTGATGTGAACATACTCTCAGATCCCCATTCACCCCAACTCTAAGCAACTAGGTATCAACCAGCAAGAGAAGTGATGTGAGAATAGGGATCAAGGCCTCTGCCTAAGGGCAGAAGGGAGGGACTGAAGGGAAGCACCTAAGACCAGAGTTGCTGTTTGGGCAAACCCTCTGGTAGAGTCAGAATGCTGCTGAAACATTTCCCAACTAGTAGGTAAGTTACTGCTTCCCAGAGGGCCCCCAAGTCTTCCACCCCGCCTGCTACCCAGCAGGACGCCTTCAGGACTCCTCTCTTGTCCTTCTCCAACTGGGCAGTGGCCCTCCCAGAGAAGCGGTCACGCTTTGACTTCTCCCTGCCTAAGCCTCTATCAGGATTACTGGCAGGCCCACCATCTGGTCTGGCCTTCCATTCTGCAGCTGGGCTGTGCGACAAGTTCCCAACCCCATCCATGGGGCTTGTGAATCTAGGGGAAGCAGGGGGACCAAATAGATCACAGGATTTGGCCTCCACATGGCCCCTGAAGTCTACCACTGCTCCTTTCCTCCATTTCTTTAGATTGCATTTAATGTCTAGAAGCCTGTTTCATTGTTTTTGCTTTTTATACTGTAGACTTGTAGATAGAACTGGGAAGAGGACAATAAATGTAAAATTCCTTAGCCTAGAAGCTGGTTCAGAGTCAGTGCTCAATAAACGTTAGCTCTGAAAATAATCTCTTATGCTCAGACATTAAGGCCTCAGACTTTAGGCTCTTATTCAGTTTGTCAACAGGAGAGGTAAGGCTGAGGCTCCGGTTTCCTGACTGTCAGTGACTCAGTGACCAGAAAAACTTAGGATGCAGCATCTTTTTTTCTCTATTTGAAGATTTAAAATACACATTAGCCTGTTAAGGGCTCTGAGTTCAAAGAGAACATTCTAATTTTGTTTAATTCAGCCTTTCTTCAAAACATTGAACAGTAAAAGCCTTTTTCCACTGAAAGTCTATCGATTTGGGAAAGGTACACTTTTTACCTTCTCCAAGGTCAAACTCTTTGTATCCTCTGTTCTCACTTATTGGAGTGCCCCTCCTAATTCTACCTGCCGGGAAACACCTTCAACATGAAACACACTAGTTATTACTCTTTTCTAATTACAAAGAAATGCCTTGCTTGTAAAACATTCAAACACCACACACATGCAATTGATGCCACCAACTCTTTTAAGACCCTTATAAAGTATCTTAATCCTTTGGCCACCTCAGGATTGAGTCACAAGTGCTGGCCTTTAGCCTCCAGAAGATGGTGAACTCAGCACAGAACTCACTCCTTTTCTAAAAGTCTCCCTCCCCTGTTCATTAGCAAATGCTTAGTGAACAACCTGCTCTCTGTGGGGCTCCTCTCAGTAGGTGCAAAGGTCCAGGCAGGTACAGCAGTGTCTAGAGGCAGCCTGCCTGTCTGTAAAGCTTGGTTCTGACTAGATGTGAAACCAAGCAAGCAAGACTCCACATTCCTGTGCTAGAATCTCACTATAGAACCGGGGAGACTAAGAGAATTCTCTTCGTAAGGTTGTTAGTAAGGATCAATTGGTCCAAAACATGTCAGCTGCTTCAAAATGACACAAGGTAGAAGCTCAGTAAAAAGCCACCATTGTGTTATAAATCCCTGGATCCTCCAGAAGCTCACAGGGACAGATATGAAACCAGTTCCAAAAATCCAGTACCTGGGGGTGCTCTGAAGCCCCACACCCTAGGCGCAGGCTTTGGAGACACAGGCTCACTGCATACAGGGTTTGGGCCCTGCCTCTTTTCTCAGACATCACACTGGCTTTACAGTGAGGGGGAATGGGCAGCAGGTACCCCTCTAAGCCCCAGGCCCCAGCCAGGCTTGCTCAGTCGGTCAGTTGTTCCGGTCCATGGTCACAGGGTCCCAGCTCTTCCAGGCTCCTAATGGGTGGAGCACCAGGGGTGAGGTGTCACTGAGTCACTGGCAAAGCCAACAAGTTGCAAATGTTTCCCAGAAGATATAAGCACCGCAGTGAGAGGAGGCAGCATTCACTGGGTAGGGTACAGGGGCTGGCCACACAGCCCATGGTGACTGCAACCCTCAGCCATTCTTGGAGCACCAACAGCAGTACAAATGGCCAGCCTGGGTCACAAAGGGTTAAGAGGTCTAACCAGTCTGCAAAGGTCCCTTGACATAGACCCTTCTCTTTTCTGCTCCACCCTCCCTTCCCGAGGACTATCTTCCTCTCTCTACTTTCACTGGAAATCACAAGTAAGACGAACAGATCAGGCCTCCAGACTCTGGAAGTTGTAGAAGAAAAATTAAACTCAGAAAAACCAAGGACTAGGTCTTCTAGGTGGTGAGTGCCTTCCAGAGAATAGACCAGTGTTACTGGATGGGACACACGCAATGAACACCGCTAAGGGGTGGCCCTAGTGCAGCCCCTACCACCTCCCAACCCTGGGGCAGGCGTGTCTTCCTCAACTTCAGACACCCTGCATGTTTCCTTCATTTTTCTCTTCCCGTCTGTTCACTGTTTCCAAATTTGCGCCTGCAGAGTCCAAGTCCACGTGGATACCATCTCTGAGGTATATCTATTTTTAAAAGTTCTTAATATTTTGGGCCCTGTGAAACCCTATGAGAATCTCTGAGTTGGGAGCTTTCCCCCCAGATAAATTTTCATGCATCCAAATATCTTTACTCAATTTCTGGAGGTTCATGAACCCTAGGAATCCCTCTACAAGCTCAGAATAAGAGCCCAGATTCAATTCACACAGGGTGCCTGACTGTCTTAATGTTTACATCATCCCTCTGTCTCTGTCTGCTTCTCTCTTTCTCTCATTTTCTCTCTCTCTCATACACACACACACACACACACACATCTTGGCATGATGGAGGCCAAGAACACACTGTGCAGATGGCCACAGGCAGCTCAGAGCTTCATCTAATTAGGGCCCCTTTCCCATACCCACCTCCCTTTCCTAATTAGACCACGTTATTTCCTAACGAAGATCTGAGAAAAGGGAGCAAAGCAAGGGAAGGACTGACTCTCTAGCCCTCTGCCAAAGTGTGGCCTGGCAGTCGGACAGGGCCCAGCACTGTAAGGAGGTTCTTCCTGTGGCCAGATGGCAAGGCCTGCCTGCCTGGTACAGGGTGCGGCTCCTGCTGCTCCCACACCTGCCCTGCCAGGCCTGCCCAGATGGTCACCCTTGTGCCCTTGCCAACTGCAATAGTGGGTCTCTGGGTGGACCGGGAGATAGAATCTTGCATAGAAAGAAGGCTAATGGTTCTGAACCCCAGATTTCTCAGGGTCTGCCCTATACTTACTGTGCTCATTTTCCCTCAACCTCTCTGGCTCATCACAGAAGCATTTCCACCTATTTTATCAAACTTCTTTATTTTTTTTAAAGATTTATTTATTTATCCATACATACAAGAACCGGGGCATAGGCCAGACTCGCGGGAGGGTGAGAGGATTCACCAGAGACAGAGTGGGGAGCAGAACAGGCAGACTGACTGAAATAAGGGGAGCAGCGGGTGAGATAGGAGAGGTCTGCTGCACCATGTGGGACCCTCGCTGGCCGGCCAGATCTAACTGGCGCTGCAGAGGCTGCAGACAGCTTCACAGCACTGCTCTCAACTGCCTGCACCACCAGGTGGTTATCAAACTTCTTGACCCAGCCTCGCTCACGGCTTCTGACCCGCCCAGCACCAGCCAAGGGGGTCCAGAAGGAGGAGGACAGGTCAGCCCAGCACATACTAGTCCTGAGTCGCCACTTTACCTCAGGAAGCAACCCAAAAATCAATAAGCCAAGAGGCCCTACCAGGGCTAAGAGAAGGTGGGACAGAGAATAGGGAGGAAGCAGCCACACAGAACAGAAAGAGTGGCTCAGCAGAGTCTCGCAGGCTGGGGCCAGCTCACTGTCCAGGGGCAGCATCTCCGCATGACCTCTGTAGGCACGTGAACTCAGTAGGCTTGAGGGATGTCCTGGTACTTGGGTTTAGGGTGAATAGCTCGGGTACCTAGCATGGGCTCTGGGATACCCCAAACTCTGGGGTAGGAGATGTTCTCTGAATGGTGGGATGGCCCAAGCCCAGGACCCATGGAAACAATGTCCTGGGGCAGTTAGGAGAGTATCTGGGTCCCTCTTATCACACCCAATAGAGGAAACACAGATTGTATGCCTCCTGGGAGATCCTGCTGGGTTTCATTCCTGTCCCTGAAGGGACAGTGTCTGACAAAGGATCAGACACTTCTTGACCCCCAAGGTCTGAATAGCCAACAGATCACAGAGCCCGCCCAGGGCGAGGCATGGATGCCCTGGGTGAGAAGAGGCAATAGGTCTCCTTATGGTTGTATAGGCATAGTCCATTTCCTGGGGTCTTTGTGGGGGAAATGCACAAGAGGGAGCTGTAGTTAGGAGAGTCTCGGACCCTGGAAATGAACAGTGCACTGATGCACCCCGCTTTATACCAAGTATTGTGTCAGGCATGGTGTTTGTCCTGAAGGAGCCTATGGCTTGAAGCACAGCCTGTTAAGCCACTCTAAGGCAGAGGAGAGGCGGGCCAGGGACAGCTCATGTCCACGTGCCAACGGGTAGTGTCAGGGAGGAGACTACTTGGTCAACAGTAAGAAGGCCTTACTGGACCCACTGCTTCATGGTCACCAACACCATTACCCAACACTAGGGGATAATTAGGAAGGAGAAGACCCTAAGGAAAAGTGAAGAAAGCACAGCCTTGGAGGAGAGCTCCCCTGAACCTTCTGCAGGCCAAGACTCCTGGCCCAGGATGGGCAATCATGCCCCCATGACAGGAACAACAGGGGAAATAATTCACATTTCTGAGACTTCTGCCCTAACCCTGACACATTTGTTATTCATGACACCAGGCTCTCTTGGTTGAAACCCTGAAGCCTGCAGCCTACAGACTGGGATTCAGAGAGCTACTATGCTCTGCAATCAAACAAATCTGTGTTCTCTGCTGAGAAGAGGGGAGTAAGCCCCAGAGGTGAGTAGAAAGGGACAAGAGAGACAGGGTAGCCAACAGAGTCGCTGTCATAGAATTTAGGGCAAGAGGGATCTGGAGCTGGCTTTTGGCAGTCCTGGAGAGGTAAAGATGAACTGGGACTGAGGTCTGAGGAGGGGTGTCTGCTCCATCAGCAGCCCCTGAGCAAGGTGGATGTTCTTTGAAATAGTGGATGCCCAGCTCTTCCTTGTACCCCAGGCCTGTAACCACAAAATGCTCTAGTATCCCCCAGAATGAACCTGGGGAGGGGAAGGCCAAAAGGAGAGGAGTGAGTTCAGCCCTTTAGTCCCTTCTGGGCAACAGGTCTCAGGTACTATCCCCATACCTGGGGGGGGCAGGAGGGAGAAAGGGAAGGACAGCAGGCATGGGCCTGCCTGGACCTCAGTGGTCAGCATCCTTCCAGAAGAGCTGCCTGTTCTGGCTTTCTGAGAAAACAGTCCACCCAGTCCCACTGACAAGGCAAAGGGCAGCTCTTGCTGTGTCCACAGGGAGAAACCCCAGCCTTCACCTTTTTCCTGGGGCTTCAGCACCTGCAAGGATGCTTGCTCCCCGCTCCCGCTCCCGCTCCCAGAGGAGAAGGAGCAGAGCTTTGTGCAGGCTCCTCTCTGGAGGGAGGGGTCAGAGATCAAAGGGCAGCGAGATGCTGCTCCCAGAGGGTAGAAAGGCTATAAACCGGTGGGGGGTGGGGGCGCCTCAAATACCGTTAGAAAGAGGCTGCTGACTAGGATGGGGACTGGCAGGGTGGAGTGGAGGGGGGCTGCGCTTAAGAGCGCAGAAACCCGGAGGGGGAGGGTCCCCAGTCCTAGAGCGCCGATTAGGGAAGAGAGGGAGAGTTGGGCGCACACGTCCCATATTAGTCGGTCGAGAATCTGAACAAAGGTGGAAGAAGGCTGCGAACCCTGGGGTCAGGGGCTACGACTGTGTCCGCCAGGAGCCGTGGCACGGAGAGGCCAGGCTGGGCCAGGCCACCTTTGTCCCTCTCCAAAGCCCCAGCCCTCCGAGCATCTCCCCTGCGCTCCCCAACCCCGCCCGGCGCGACACTCACCCTGTCGCTGCAGGCTGGGGGGCCAGAGATCCGCTCCTCCGGAGGGGGTGCCGGGGGCCGGGGGTCTCGACTCGAATAAGGCGGTGCGGGGGCGAGCCGTGGCGCGGGGGCGGCGTGGGGCCGGGGGCCGCGGGGGTGGCGAGGGCCGTGGACGCGGACGGCGCCCCGGAGTAGGGGTCTTCGAAGTCGCGCTCCCTCTGCAGCCGGTAGGCTGCCAGGATGTCCGGGGGCGGCGCGGGGGGCGCCGCCGGGGAGGGTGCGGGGGGCCGGTAGTCGGGTTCTGGGGGCGCCGGCTTGGCCCCCCCTCCGCCGCTGCCCCCCCCGCGGAAGCCCAGGTGCTCCCGGAGCCACTTGGCCACTCCGCCGCTGCCGCCCCCTCCCGGGCCGGCTCCTGCACCCCCGGTTCCTCGACGAGACCCCCCTGGGCCGCCCCCAGCGCCCCCCTGCGCCCGCGGCGCGGGGCCGGAGCCCGCGGGAGGAGCTCCGCTCAGCAGCATGGGGCCGGCGAGACTGAGCGCGGGGAGCGCCGAGCCGGGCGGGGGGCGGGGGCGGGGGGCGGGCGCGGGGGGCGGGGCTCCGTGGCGGCGGGAGGGGCGGGGCTCCCCAGTAACAAGGCAGGGGCGGGGTTCCGCTCCCTAACGGGGTCTGCCCCTGCCAGCCCGGCCCGGGAAGAGGGGGGCGCAGGCTTGCATCCCGTGCAGACTCCGGAGAAGTGGATGGGCGACCCCAAGGCTGGGCTTGCAACTCCGGGACTGAAGGTGACTCCTCCACGTGTCGTCTCGCGTGCCCCTGGGGGGCACACCTGTCCGCAGCTGTTTCTCTCTCCCAGGTACCAGCTTGCGCGCAAAGCCGAGAGGGAGCCTCCAGACCCCTGGGTTCTTGGCTCTCCAGTGCCTTCCGCTCCTTTCCTCCAACCCCCGCCTCCCAAGTCTCTCAATTGGGAAATAATACTCTAGGAGGGAAAACTAGGGAGGGTGAGGAAAGGAGCTGTTTGGTTAGCTGTGTCTGTGTGTGTAGCAACCTCCCCCCTCCTCCTGTTACGCAGGAAACCCCACCTACCTCCTCCAGTCCGAGGGCTTGCACCACACAAACCCAAACCCACAGTGTTTCCTAATCCAGACACATCTCACATCACAGACAATCAATTCCCTAGAGACACCCACGTCTCCCGTGTCGTTTCCACACGCTCCTCACAGGCAAACAGCCCTTCACAGACGTCTCCCACCCGCCGGCGCACCCGCCCGAAGCAGGCTGGGGGAGGCCCTGCCTGCAGCTCCCACTCATGCAGAAATCCCTGCAAGTTACATCCCGGGTTTCATTGTCAATCAGGTTAGTGACAGAATAGAAACAGACAAGTCAATAAATCAAGTGTGGAAACAGTTCCAATGTTGTTTATCACAAACCCTTATCCTTGCAAGGGTGCTCAAACTATAGGCATTCTTGTCTAGTTCTCCCTAGAAATGGAACCCTGAAGCTGACATCAACAATTTGCTTTTCGGCCTGGGGGAGTGGGGGGAGGTGGCAACTTCATCTCACCATCTTCCCCCTAAGCACTGCCTTGTGAGGGAGCAAAGAGCAACGTGAGACTCCAAGAGGAATGGAGTTCAAAGCTGGAGTGGAGATGGATGTAATGACAAAACAGCAACTCCCCTAGGATTCTCAGGGTCCCAGGTCTCAAAATATCTGTTGGATCTTTGCTTTGTACATATTTAAGTTGGTATTATTGAACAGTGCTTCTCAGACTTTCATGTGGTCACAAAACGTGTTAGATGGCAATTTCTGATACTGTAGATCTAGCAGAGTGGGATCTCATACTGTAGTTCTAACAGGCTCCTGGGTGATACAGAAGCTGCTGGTCCCCTGCCCACACTTTGAGTAACAGGGCTGTAGGAGATACTTGATATTGTGCCTGACTTCATGAACTTTAATAGAGAAAATAATAACGTGCACACTTTTTAAATGTGCTGTTTCAAACCTGACTAACTATGCAAAAGTGGACATAGAGATAGTGTTTGAAGAATGGGCCAATTAATCCATATTGGAGGGTCTCAGCAATCAACCTGTGTCTGACTCAGGACTCCAACAGTTGTGGACTCTAGCCAGATCTCTGGGCAAGATATTCAATGCCACTAATTCTCTCTTTCCTTATATCTGCAAAGAGCATGGAGATTATTGTGAGGATTAGGGGGCATGCTGACACCGAATAGACTTTGAAAAATAAAATGCTGACAAGCACGTGTTTAAGAAGTGTGGCGTTAAGCTGCTGACAATGCGGAGGAATGGACTCACTCAACCCTGCACAAAAGATGGCAGCCTTCCTGGAGGAGGTAAACCTGAATGGTAGAATTTGAGCAATGAAGCAAAAGAGTGAAAGGTCATTCCAGCTAGCAGGTCAGTGTGAATTGAGTGAAGGCAGTGAGGTAGGAACCAGCATGCTATAAAGAAGGGGAAGGCTCATGGTGGAGAAGAGTAGGAAATAAAGTTAGATGAGGAAAGAGGAGGATATCATAAAGGCAGAGTTGTTTTTTTTTTTTAAAGATTTATTTATTTATGCATACAAGACCTGGGGTGTAAGCCAGAGGTGCATGAGGTCAGAGGATTCACCAGAGAGAGTGGGGAGCAGAACAAAAGGCAGTGTTTAAATGATAATTTAAAATCTGTAACACTTTGTGTGTTCCGTGAACTTTTTTTGTTTCTGATTTATTTATTCTTGTATATTTTATTTTTTTTTAATGAAATACCATTGTTTTAAATACTTGTTAGTATTTTGTCAGTATAGGATTTCTACCCTCAGGTGTGGTCTCGGTAGCTCTCCTGCTGCCGAACCCATAGTCCTCACCATGTCCCTTGTGCTTCCCCTGATTCTCACTATCATCCAACCCTTCCCCTGCCTCCTCCCCTCTTGGTTGTCTCAGATCTATGGTCAGCTTTCAAGTGTTCTTTTTTTTTTTTTTAAGATTTATTTATTTATGCATATAATAACTGGGGCACAGGCCAGAGGTGCCGGGGGTGAGAGGACTCACCAGAGACAGAGTGGAGAACAGAACAGGCAGGCTGACTAAAATACACTGCTGAGGGTTGCATTGGGAAGACATGAGAGGTCTGCAGCGCCATGTAGGTTGCTCCCTGGCAAGGCCAGGGGATTGAACTAATGCTGTGAATTGCTACAGAGTACAATGCTTAACCCCTTGTGCCACCAGGGAGGCCCTCAAAGGTTCATTTTAAAGTTTGTCTTTGTCTGATCCTTTGTTTGGTTTCTCTTTATTCCACCTACAAGTGAAACAATCTGGTATTTGTCTTTCTCCTTCTGGCTTATATACTGAGCATAATCCCTTTCAGCTCCATCCATGTTGCCACAAGTGGCTTGAGTTTTTTTGTTCTGTTTTGTTTTTTTGGATTGCTGAGTAGTATTCCATTGTGTGCATATACCACATCTTCTTGATCCACTTACCTGTTTTGGGGTACTTAGGTTGTTTCCACGTCTTGGTTATTGAAAATAGCATACATTTACTCTTGATTTTAATTACCTTTTAATGCACTTTCCACTCCCACTGGGGTGTGGACTCTGGGAAGCACGCATTGTTGAGCACCTCATGGGGGCTAGGCAGTTTGCTAGTAACTGAGGATATGGAGGTGAGCCTGTCACAGCAAGGCTCCCCAGAGACTTGGATGGAGTTTGCCAGATCCTGACAAAGTCTGACATATTAAACATCACACAATAGAATCAGGATTCTGAAGAGGAGCGGGTTATTTTCATCACCAGTGCAGAGGCTGTTATGTGGTTGGAGCTTAACCAATACTGAATGAAAAAGGATCATTTCTCTGGCTCTTATTGTTAAATAGCTATAATTGTGATATAAACAATTTTATATCCCATTTTTTTCACTTAACATTGCATAATTTTCCCATTTTTATTATGTAAGCTTTATTTCCTGAATAGACTTCCAACATTAAAAAAATTCAAACCTACAAAAAAACTCAAAGTACAGTGGAAATCTCTATACCTATGCACGTAGATTCACTACATTTTAACATTCTGTCATAATTGCTCTATCCCTTCACCCTTTTTTTCCCTTAACCATTTTTTTTTTTTTTGTGTGTGTGTGGGACCCTCGCCGGTGGCTGGGGATCGAGCTGGTGCTGCAGAGGCTGCGGGCATCCTCGCAACCTAGCGCTCAACCGCTGCGCCACCAGGGGAGGCCCTTCCCTTAACCATTTTAAGCAAGTTGCAAATATCATGACTCTTCAGCTCTAAATACTTCAATGGAAATTTCCTAAGAATAAGGAATCCTTCTATAGGACATTTATTTAATAGTATTACCTATTAAACAGTTCAGATTAATTTATTTCCTTTTTCTCCCAAATGTTTTATATATATACGTGTTTATGTGTGCATGTGTGTGTGTGTATAGTTTGATTAAATCCTGACCAGGGCTATATGTATAGTTTGATTAAATCCTGACTAGGACTATGTATATACATATATATCAATCAAACTAGGACTATATATACACATATAGTCCTAGTCAGGATTTAATCAAACTTCCTCCACTGGATTGGTTAAGTTTCTTTTGTTTCTTTTAATCTTGGACAGTACACCATTTCATTTTTTGCTGCTAGTTTATTTTTCATGACCTTAATAGTTTTGAAACATCCTGGACAGTACAGAATGTCCCACATTCTGGATTTTTTCTTTAGCTTCCTCATGATTAGCTTCAGATTAAACATTTTCAAAAAGACCACTACAGAAAGGGTATTGTAGACTTCCTAGGATATCACATTGACAGGCCAATAGTGAACATTTGTCTCTTTATTGGTGATGCTAGTTTCCATCACAAGGTAAGTCGGAGTCCATCAGATCTTTCCACTTTACACCTCCAAGTAAGTGGTGGTGTGATAGCCTACGACCTTTTGATATTTGCTCCCAACAACATTTTACCCAGTGATTTTGGCTCCCATTGATAACCTCTGCTTGCATTTGTTCTTAAACTGGGCATTGCAAAATGGTGACTCTAATTCTGTCATTTCCTCTGCACTTGCTATGTGGCAGTCTATTATAAAGGAAGTGCTCTTCCTTCTCCCTCCCTCTTCTCATTTTTACCTTTTCCATCCACTTCCCTTCTCTCTCTTTCCCTCTCATTCCCATGGTCTCAATTATTTTTCACTTAATGTGACATAATCTATTACTGTCATTCTTTTTGATGTTCAAATTGTCTCAAATTTGACCCATCGAGCCTTCCAGAGACTTCTGTTTCCTTTTGACTTACTTGTCCCAACAATCTTTAAGCACTTGTTTTCTCGCACAAGATATTCAAATTAGAGTCACACAGGAGACTCAAATTGTACTTTCCCTGCTACAGGCCTGTAATAAGTCATTTCCTTAAGGGACCTTTACTCCTTTTAGTTGGAAATAGTATTTAAAAGATGACTTCATATTTTTAAAATAACTAATCTATCGTTAAATAAACAAATTTAGTTTAATCCAATATTGCTTTATTTGTGGAGCATTTAGACAATTTCCATTTCCTCTCTTCCAAATAACTCTGTAATGAACCTCTTTCTGCAGATAGCTTGTTCAGGGTGAAGATTATTTCCTTTGGCATGAGTCACAAAAGTGGAATTATTAGGGTAAAAAGTATACATTTTTTCCTGACTCTTGATACACATTACCCAGTTGCTCTCCTAGAAGGCTTTAAAAGTCAACAATGACTTCTAGGTGTTAAACCCAGTGACTGTCTCCTTCTTCTGCAGCACTTAAGTCTGCTGACCTCCTTTGTCCTTGAAACTGCCCACATTTTCCTTAAAATGTCCTTGCTCTGGTTATTCTCC